TGTGTGTGTGTGTGTGTGTGTGTGTGTGTGTGTGTGTGTGTGTGTGTTTAGGCCAATGGTCAATGTTAACTGCCTTTATTGCTCTCTACCTTATTTTTTTGAGACAGTGCTGCTTTGTCCTGAACCTGAAGTTCACCTATTTGACTACACATGCTGGCCAGTGAGCTCCAAAGTTCTACCTCAGCCTATGCCTCTGCCTCCCCCACAACAGGGTTACTGATTTACACTTTCATGGCTGTGGGTGCTAGGGATCTGAATTCAAAGTCCTCATAATGACTAAGGCATTTTTGCAGCTCCAAAGACTGTTTTATCTTTAGTAGAACTTTCAAAACAGTTGTAGACTCACAACAAAATAGAGAAGAAGTACGGAGTTTTCCCATATATTCTGTGACCCCTCTTACAGCTCCATTTGTTATAGGTGATAAACCTACATTGATAAATCACATCACCTAATACCTACCCATCGTTTCCACTAAGATTTCCTCTGGTATTATACATTCTGTTTGGACAAATGTATAATTAATGTATAGACTCACTTTACAGCCTGACCCCAACCCTCTCCCTACTCTTCTCCCAGTCCCTCCCTCACGCCACTCTCACCTTCATTTCTCCCTCCCCTTCTCAGAGAAGAGGAGACCCTGCCATGGGTACCAATCCATCCTGGCACATCAAGTCTCAGCAGGACTAAGCGCTTCCTCTCCCTCTGAAGCCAGAAGGCAGCCTAGCTAGGGGAAAAGGATCCAAAGGTAGGCATCAGAGTCAGAGGCAGCCTCTACTTCAATTCTTAGGGGACTCACTTGATGACCAAGCTGCACATCTGCTACATATGTTATAGGGAGCCCAGGTCCAGCCCATGCATGCTCTTTGGCTGGTGGTTCAGTCTCTGTGGGCCCAGGATAGTTTACTCTGTAGGTCTTCTTGCAGTATCTTTGCCCCCTCTCGTTCCCTCAATTCTCCCCTAAACTAGCTCCACCTATTGTTTGACTGTGGGTCTCTGCATCTGTTTCTTTATCAGCTGCTGGATGAAGCCTCTCAGAAGATAGTTATGCTAGGCTCCTGTCTGCAAGCATAGCAGAATATCATTAAAGTGTCGGGTTGGCTTTCTTCCATGGGGTGGGTCTCAAGTTGGGCCAATCATTGGTTGTCTGTTTCCCTAATCTCTGCTCTATCTTTATCCCTGTACTTCCTGTAGGCAAGGCAGTTTTTGAGTCCAGTTTTTGAGGTTTTATGGTTTATCCCCCTCCCTCCACTGGTAGTCCCGCCAGGCTACAGGAAGAGGTGGCCTCTTGAGGCTCCAAATCCCCAGCTGATAGAAGTCTCAGCTTGGTTCACCCCGTATATTCCTGGAAGCCATCCCCATCCCAGAGATAACCCCACACACAGTGGCTTCTATTCTCTTTCTCAGACTTCCCCCATCCCAACTCCTTACCTGTACCCCTGTTCCCTTCCCCCACCCAGTTCCATCCCTCCAACTATTTCAGATGTCTATTTCCTCTTCTCAGTGAGATTCAAGCATCCTCCCGTGGGCCCTCCTTGCCATCTTTGGGTTAGTGGATTAAGGTCAGGTTGTCTTGTACTTTATGGCTAGTATCCACTTACAAGTAAATGAGTACATACAGTGTGTGTCTTTCTGAGTCTGGGTTACCTCACTTGGGATGATCTTTTCTAGTTCCCTCCATTTGCCTGAAAATTTCATGATGTCCTTGTTTTTAATGTCTGAGTAGTATTCCATTGCATAAATATACCAGTTTCTTTATCCAATCTTCACTTGAGGGACATTTAGGAGTTTTGAGTTTCAGGCTATTAGGAATAAAGCTGCTATGAACATAGTTCAGCAAGTATCCTTCTTGTATGCTGGAACATCCTTTGGGTATATGCCCAGGAGTGGCATAGCTGGCCTTGAGATAAAGCTATTCCCAATTTTCTGAGAAAACGCCAGATTGATTTCCAAAGTGGTTGTACAAGTTTATACTCCCACAGCAACGGAGGAGTGTTCCCCCTTCTCCACAGCCTCACCAGCATGTGCTGTCACTTGAGGTTTTGGTCTTATCCATTCTGATGGGTGTAAAGTGAAATCTCAGGGTCGTTTATATTTGCATTTCCCTGAGGACTAAGGACGTTGAGGATTTCTTTCTTTCCTGTTCACTAGAGAGATAACTCTGTTGAGAATTCTCTTTTTCTCTGTACCCCATTTTCTAATTGGGTTATTTGGTTTCTTGGGGTCTAATTTCTTGAGTTCTTTATATATTCTGGATATTAGCCATCTGTCAGATTTAGGGTTGATGACAATCTTTTCTCATTATGTAGGCTACTATTTTGTTCTATTGATGGTGTCTTTTGCCTTCAGAAGTTTTTTAGTTTCATGAAATCCCATTTATTAATTGTGGATCTTAGAGCCTGAGCTGTTCAGGAAGATGTCTCCTGTGAGTTCAGGGCTATCCCCATTTTCTCTTCTAATGGATTTACTGTATCTGGTTTTATGTGGAGGTCTTTGATCCACTTGGATTTGAATTTTGTGTGGGCTGATAAATCTGCTTGCATTCTTTTACATGCAAACATCCAGTTAGACCAGCACCATTTGCTGAAGATTTTTTTTTTCTTTTTTCCATAGTTTTGGCTTCTTTGTTGTTTTTGTTTGTTTGTTTCTTTTGTTTTTTTGAGACTGGGTTTCTGTCTAGTCTTGGCTTCTTTTTTGTATTGTTGTTGGTTTCTTTGTTTTTTGTTTTTTTTTTTTGTTTGTTTGTTTTGTTTGTTTTTAAGGCTGGGTTTCTCTGTATAGCTTTGTCTGTCCTGAACTTACTTTGTAGACCAGGCTGGCCTCAAACTCAAGAGAGATCCACGTGCCTCTTCTCCTGAGCACTGGGATTACAGGCATGCACCATGGTATCCACCATGGTGGATTTTTGCTTCTTTGTCAAAAACCAAATGTCTGTAGGTGTGTGGGTTTATTTCTGAGTCTTTGATTGTATTGCATTAATCAACCTGTTTGTTTTTATGCCAGTACCATGCAGTTTTTATTGCTATTGCTCTGTAGTACAGCTTGAGATCAAGAAGTTCCTTTATGGTGCAGGATTATTTTAGGTATCCTGAGTTTTTAATTTTTTTATATAATTTTGAGAATTGCTCTTTCCAGATTGTAAAGAATTGTGCTGTTATTTTGATGGGAATTGCATTGAATCTGTAGATTGCTTTTGGTAAGATGTCCGTTTTTATTGTGTTAATCTTACCGATACATGAGCATGGAAGATCTTTCCATTTTCTGATATCTTCACAGGCTTGAACTTCTTGTCACACAGTCTTTCACTTGCTTAATTAGAATTACACCAAGATACATTATATTATTTGTTGCTATTGTGAAGGATGTTGTTTCCCTAATTTCCTTCCCAGCCCATTAATCGCTTGTATAAAGGAGGGGTCCTGATATCTTTTTTTGAGTTAATTTTGTATCTAGCCACTTTGCTGAAGGTGTTTATTGGCTGTAGTTCTCTGGTAGAATTTGGGGATCAATTATATCATCTCCAAATAGCGATGCTTTGATTTCTTCTTTTTATAATTTTTATCTCCTTCATCTTCTTTAGTTGTCTTATTGCTCTAGCTAGAACTTCAAGTACTATATTGAAGAGATATGGAGAGAGTGAAGAGCCTTGTTCCTGATTTTAGTAGAATTGCTTTAAGTTTTTCTCCATTATTTTGACATTGGCTATTGGCTTGCTGTATATTGCCTTTATTGTGTTTAGGTACATACCTTGTATCCCTGATCTCTCCAAGACTTTTAATGTGAAAGGGGCTTTGAATTTTGTCAAAGGTTTTTCAGCATCTAATATGATGAGCATGTGGTTTTTTCTTTAGTTTCTTTAAATCGTGAATTACATTGATAGATTTTCATATACTGAACCATCCCTACATCCCTGAAATGAAGCCTATTTGGCCATGATGGATGATGGTTTTGATGTGTTCTTGGATTTGGTTTGCCAGTATTTTATTGAGTATTGTTTCATAAGGGAAATTGGTCTGAAATTCTCTTTCTTTGTAGAGTCTTTGTGTGGTTTAAGTATCAGGGTGACTGTGTCCGCATAGAATGAGTTTGGCAATGTTCTTTCTGTTTCTATTTTGTGGAATAGTTTTGAGGAGTATTGGTATTAGCTCCTTTTTGAAAGTCTGGTAGAATTCTGTGCTGAAACCATCTGGCCCTGGGCTTTTTATGGTTGGGAGACTTTTAATGACTGCTTCTATTTCCTTAGGGGATATAGGTCTATTAAGTTATTTACCTGGTATTGATTTAACTGTGGTAACTTATCTATCATGAAAATCATCCATTTCATTTAGATTTTTCCAGTTTTATAGAGTGCAGGTTTTTGAAGTAAGACCTGATGTTTCTTTGAATTTCCTCAGTGTCTGTTGTTATGACCTCCTTTTCATTTCTTATTTTGTAAATTTAGATACTTTCCCTCTGCCTTTTTGTTAGTTTAGCTAAGAGTTTGTCTATCTTGTTGATTTTTCTCAAAAAAAAAAAAAAAAAAAAAAAAACAGCCCTTGGTTTTGTTGATTCTTTGTATTATTCTCTTTGATTCTGACTTATTGATTTCAGCCCTGAGTTTATTTCTGCTCCCTACTCCTTTTGGATGTGTTTGCTTCATTTTGTTCTAGAGCTTTCAGGTTTGCTGTTATATCACTAGTACGAGATCTCTCTGTGAAGGCACCTCTTAGTGCTATAAACTTTCCTCTTAGCAGTTCTTTCATTGTGTTACTTAAGTTTGGATATGTTGTGCCTGTGTTCCCATTTAATTTTAGAAAGTCTTTAAATTCTTTATTTCTTCCATAACACAGAGGTTAGAGAGGTTTTCAGTTTCCATGAGTTTTAGGCGTTCTGTTGTTTCTATTATTGTTGAGTCCAGCTTTAATCCATGGTGGTCTAATAAGATACAAGGAGTTATTTTAAATTTTTTTTCTAACTGTTGAGACTTGCTTTGTATATAGAAAGATATGGAAGAAAAACTGACTGTATGTTCAGTTTTGGAGAAGGTTCTATGAGGTGCTGAGAAGAAGGTATATTCTTTTGTGTTTGGATGGAATGTTCTATAGATATTTGTTAGGTCCATTTGGTTTATAACATCAGTTAGTTTCACTATTTCTCTTTTTAGTTTCTATCTTAATAACCTGTCCATTGGTGAGAATGGGACTTGTTTGTTTGTTGTTTTTAAAGACAGAGTCTTACACTGTAGCTTTGTATTGGAACTTAGTAGACCAAGTTGGCCTTGAACTCAAAGCCTCAGCCTGAGAGCTGGGGTTACATACAGGCTAGAGCCACCATGCTCAGCTTACTACTGTTTTTCTTCTCTCCTGGTTATTCTGCTTCCAGGGTATTATATAATGTTATTTGTTCAACATGTGGCTTTTTCATTTGGCTTCTTTCAGTTAATAATGTCCATTGAAATTCTTCCATATCTTTCTATATCTTGATAATTCTTTTGTTTTAAATAATAGGCCATTGTTTGTATAATTTGTCTGTTCAGAAAGCTACTAAGGGACATTATCAATTTTTCCAATTTCATAGTAAATAAAGCTGCTCTAAGCATTATTTACAGTTATGTGTTGTGGGTATGAGTGTGTAAGTTTTTGTCTCCTTTGGATAATTACCAAAGAGATAAATTGCTGGATTACATGGTTACAGTATATTTATATAAAAGGTGCTAGTTACCCTTTTTGTTCCTGCCAACAGTGAATAATAATTCTTGTTGTTCCAGACATTTGGTACTCATCAATGTTCTGGTTTGGACTATTCTAATATGTTGTAATTTCTTGTTTGTGTTTCCATGTGATGTATGATGTGGAACAGCTTTCATATTTACTGTTTTTATATCTTATTAGGTGAGGTATTTGCTAAGGTCTTTGAAGCAGTTTTACTTGGTTGATTGTTCTTATAATTGAATTTTAAGAATTCTTTATATCTGATATATAATGGTTCTTAATTGGATACATCTTCTGCAAATATTTCCTTCCAGTCTGTAGCTTTTTGTCTTCTTGATGATCAGATTTTTTGACCATAATACCTACCAATTTAAAATACTTGGGTGAGATTAGGTTGAGAGATATTTTAAGATACCTTTTACTAGTCCTTTGGATATAGAAAACAGATAGTTGACTTAAAACTTTTTTTACCTGCATTTGCTTATTTTGGGGTAGGGGAGCACAAGTCACAGAGTATGTGAAAGTCGAGAAGACAACTTAATGGACCCAGTCCACTACTCCATGGTATGGATCCTGGGGACGCAACTCATGTCCGGCTTGGCAGCAAGTGCTGTTGTTATACACTGAAGCAAATGCCTAATCCCGGATAGTTGATTTTTAATTTTCATATGTCAAGCTGTCATGATTGGAATTCTTTCTGGGTCTTTTTTCCTTTTGTATAGTATATATGTATTTGTACAGGTGTGTCTGTACATGTATGTGAGTGGTCAGAAGTTGATGTAAAATGATTTTACTGAGGGAACCTAGAGCTTACTGATTTTCCAGTCTAGCTAGCCAGTTTGCCCTGTGGCTCCTGTCAAAAGCACTGGGACTATAGTTGGTCTACCTAGTTTTTCTGTGGTTACACATCAATCCTCAGACCTACAAATCAGTTTAATTCTGGCAATTGTATCATGTTAAGTATTTTGTATTTTTCAGGTGTGTGCGGATCTTAGGCAAGCAAGAAAATATTAGAGTGATGCAACTGGCTTTGTTTCAGGGAATAGCCAAAAAGCATCGAGCTGCAACTACAATAGAGATGAAAGCTTCTGAAAACCCTGTTCTTCAGAATATTCAAGCTGACCCAACAATAGTCTGCACATCTTTCAAAAAGAATCGGTTTTATATGGTATGTGATGTTCTTGGAGATGGCCATTATATTAGTGTTTTTTTTTTCCAGCCTTGCTGGGAGTTTTATTTTCTTAAAGAATATTGACAGTGATAACAAACTTTCTAAACAACTGAAACACTCCCCTACCACATTAATAGTGCAGAATTTTAAACCAGGAATTGATTTCTAAGTATCTCAGCATTCTTTCCCATTATGTCTAAAATTTTTTCAAGCTGGTTTCTATCGCTATTGGAGCTAAGATGATAGGAAGGAAACTAATAATTATGTTCATAATTGTGTTTAGATCAGTTTTTACTGTGGATTTTAAAATGTTTTTCAACTTTTCACTTGAACATATTTCCCAGAACTTACACCATTTCTTTCTCTTTAAATATTTATTTACGTATGTACATTTATGTACTTAGTCCCTAGCACTGGGAGAGGGAATACTAAGATTGGGCTAAAAGCAATTGTCTAAACTACCTGGAACAGTAACGTCATCCAGGCAGACAGTGTAAAGTACAGACTGTGTTTTAGCACTGTATGCTTTACACTGCAGACAATGTTCAGTGATCTAAATAGGACTCTTCAGTGGTCTGTAACTGGCTTTTATCATTTCTGTGGCTTTAGCCTTCTTCCTTTTTCATTTACTACACTGACTACTACATCATCATATTCTACTTGCAATAATTGAGTATTATTTTTTAAACTGTTTTTAGTTTTCTTATTTGCAGTCACATGTTCAGCTTCTGAAGGGCTCGGCTTGACAATCTTTTTAACACGAGTGCTGAGTTATACTCACGAGCTGTGCTCTTCACTGTATGCAGCATGCTTCTGGGGTGTGAACAATCTGTGTTGGGAGAAATGGGCTATCTATGGCACTGCTTTCTTCCTCCAGACCATTCAGAATCAATAAATATGGAGTACTGTAGCTTTATTATTAAGTGCATAAAACTTCATCAGGTGGCTGGCGCATTATAGTGTGCACATTCATTCATCTGACGTCTATGAATTGTAAGCATCTGTGATGAGTTGAAGCTACCACAAATGATAAATGTATGAAATAGCAGTTTTCCTACCTGCCAAGCTTTTAAAATAGATAAATTATATTTTTTTAAGATTTATTTATTATGTATATAATATTCTGCCTGTATGTGTGCCTGTATTACAGAAGAGGGTACCAGATCTCATTACAGATGGTTGGGAGCCACCATGTGGTTGCTGGGAATTGAACTCAGGACCTCTGGAAGAACAGCCAGGGCTTTTAATCTCTGAGCCATCTCTCTAGCCCCTAGATAACTCATTTAATATGAGAATTTTTCTTAAAATTTTCAGATTCATAGCTAAAAGCTCATTAATTTATGCTAAATTAAAATAGTTTATCTTATTTTGACCTATAATTTACCTACTAATGAAGTTAAAATTATCAAAGATAATTCTTGATATATACTAAAACTATAAGCACTAATGCTAACTTTCATCTATTTCATTAAAATTTTAGTTCTTAAGTTATTTGTCTCTCTTTCCTCAGTTTACTTTAGATGGTTAAAGTATGCACACTTATTTTTAAGGTTTGAAGAAGTAGAGTTTTTATTCCAAAGTTTCATCTAGGCAACATTATGAATATTCTATCATTGTTATCACATGTCAGTGTCTTTAAGCAATGCTAAGATAGTAACATATTTATGAATCTTATATTCCATGTTTTAAAGGCAACAGAAATAAAAGAATATTAGTTCACCTATGAGCTAAACTAAGATTTTTAAAGCATTTTATAAATCTTTAGGTACTGTATTTCCCTTGAAAGCTAAGGAAGATGTTAGGTGAAAACATTCTAATCTGTTTGTTTTTTCATGCAATTAAGAAAACCATGAACTGGTATGCTAGCTCTATCTTTAGCCAACTCTGTTTGTATAAGGTAGAGGTAGCTTGGGATGCAAGATTTCTACTTACTCAAAACAAGAAACCGCCTTAAGAAGTCTGTGTTTCTTGGGGGCAAGGTAGCACTGTCAGCCCAAACTGTATAACTTTATCATATATATATGATAAAGACACACACATACATGTGTCTACACACATAATTTGTGTATTATATGTGTTATATGTACTTTTAGGTAAATTAAAGTGGCCCTTTATGGCTTTTTCAGACATCTTTGTTATTTTTCTCCTGCTCCTTCAGTATTGACCTTGCTCCCTCTCCCCAATTAAAGCTCCTCTCCCCATTCTTCCCTTTCCTACTTTGTATCACCTGTATCCTACTATTTCCCTTTCTAGCCCATGGTCCATTTTTACTTTCCTGCTGTCTGAGATTAACCCAGGTCTGTTGTGAATTCTCACTGTCCCTAAAAAGTGAAATTTTATTTATAAATTTTTAACAGATAACTTCAGTTCAAGCACTCATATTTTCCTTCTTCAGTTTACCAAACGAGAACCAGAAGATACAAAAAGTGCAGATTCTGACCGTGATGTTTTTAATGAGAAACCTTCTAAAGAAGAAGTCATGGCAGCTACTCAAGCTGAAGGGCCAAAAAGAGTGTCAGATAGTGCCATTGTCCATACAAGCATGGGAGACATTCACATCAAACTTTTTCCTGTTGAGTATGTATAATTTTTGTTATCTTAACACAAATACCAATGTTAGAGTATGTAGTTAGAGTGTAACTTGAATTTGCTACTTTAATGGATTTTGAATGATTTGTCTGGACAAGACATCTAATCCTTAGCATTTTGATACATAAGTTCTTCTAGAGAAAGAGATCAGATTTAATGCAGGCCTATTATAAGGACAAAAGATGCTTGCTATGAAAGTGCTGTTAGTGATAGGACAGTTCTTGAACATGCACAAAGTTCTTCCTTCCTTTTTCAGTATCTAACACCATTACAAAACAGAAGAGCACTGGAGGTAAATTGTAAAGATATGCAAGTTTAGTTACTATTACCATAACTGAACCATCCAGCTAGGTTAATAGACAAATTTCCTTCCAAACCAAATCCTTCAGATTAGGATAATAAATTTTCTTTCCTGGTGTTTGTTAGGTACCTACTACAATTTTAAAAGTGAATTCTAATGGAAAACATACAGACTTTCAATTCTTTCTACAATTAAAAAGTGTTCTGCACAGTTAAATTATTTATAAAATAGATTATTTAATACCCAATTAGGATTATCTCTAGCTTTCCTTGATCTAAAAGAAATATTTTATAATATTTTCAATCAAAAGTACTAAGTAAAGATCCAGGAAGTTGATTTTTTTTTTTAAATAAAGATTTACTTATTATTTATACACTGTTCTGCCTGCAAGAATTTCTGCATCAGAGATGATTATGAGCCACCATGTGGTTGCTGGGAATTGGCCTTTCAAGGAACAGGCAGTGCTCTTAAACTCTGAGTCATCTCTCCAGCCCCAGTTGTAGATTCTTGAATAATCCCTTTTCAGCTGCTTAGTACATATGTATTTCCAAACCTGTTGCATGAATAATTGAGGCAAGATTCTCTTATCCACTTCTATCCTCAGTTCTGGGAGGTTTTGTGTGATAAATGAAAACAATCATGAAATAATTTCATGAGCTTAGTAATAGATTAGTAATAACTAAAAATTGTTCAAATTTAAAAGATGCCATTTCTGTGAATAAGTGCAGAAGTCACTAAACATTGTTTTTATAAGAGAGTTACTTTCTCAGAAGTAAATGTAACCATGTGTATATGTATCTTCTTTTATTTATTTTTATTTTTTACATGGGTTTCTCTGTGTAACAGCCCCAGCTGTCCTGGAACTCACTTTATAAACCAGGTTGGCCTTGAACTCAGAGATCTGCCTGTCTCTGCTTCTCATGCTGGAATTAAAGGCATGTGCCACTACACCAGGCTGTGTGTGTGTATCTTAATGTTCTTTGTTTGGGTTTTTAAGCTGCTAAATGGCCTTGTACCACCATCATCAAAATTGGCAGTCATGTCCAGATATAAGAACACACTCATGCTCACCTGCCCTTCCCACTGTCATTTGTCCTCAGATCAGATTATGAGAAGTATTTTGACGTGTAGAAGACCTTGAGAACATTAGAAATGGAGCTTCAATATAATATTGAATAATTTTGTATTTTTAATATAAAATAGGTGTCCCAAGACAGTGGAGAACTTCTGTGTTCACAGTAGAAATGGTTATTACAATGGGCATACATTTCACCGTATAATTAAGGTAAGTTATACAAATTTATGTGATTTAAACAAAAGTATGTTATTATGTAGCAAGAGCTTAAATTTCGTGACTCCTTCATTAACACATACCACTTTATTAAAAGGTTAAGACAGAAACGAATGGTGGCATCCAAAATGAGTGGATGAATGTTTAGTCAAGCCAGGAAAAGTCCTGACTACCTTTTCAGAAACAACACCCCAGTACTTTGTCAGCAGCTAAAGAAAGGGTAAAAGAATGTCAAGGGATATACATTAACTTAGTAGACAGAAAATCTGGAAAATAGAAGAGCTTTAAGGACATGCATCCTCTGAGAACCTGAGGAAGAGTGAGCTTGGTAGCAGAATTTTGTGCAGCATTGCACAGAATGGTTACTAGTAGGTCAGAAATGGCAAAAGGAAAAATCAGATACTAAAGTTCTGATGAAATCCAGAGGATTTGAGGAAAGAAAAGGGAAAATAAGAGCAATTGTATAAGACACAGATATTATATAAATCCTAAAACTTTCTGTGTACAATTAGGAAGGAGAATGCATGCACACAAAAATTTGCATTTTTGTTTCTGTCCTTTCAGCAATGCAATGGAAATCCAACATTCAGACTTACTATGGGGTTCATCTAATCATGCTATAATTTAAGAAATTTGGAAGATTTCACTAACTACAAAGCTCTCTTGACAGATACAAAACTGCAGCTACACACAGATTACACACAATAATATGAGGTATTATTTTTATGCATTCTGTTAACAGGGCTTCATGATTCAGACAGGAGATCCAACAGGTACTGGTATGGGAGGAGAAAGCATATGGGGAGGAGAATTTGAAGATGAATTTCACTCAACATTACGACATGACAGACCATACACACTCAGCATGGCTAATGCTGGATCAAATACGAACGGATCCCAGTTTTTCATAACAGTGGTACCAACGGTGAGTATAATAAAATTTTCTGTAAATAAAGGTTAATGGTTTATGGCCTGAGAATGTGAGGTTGAACAGGGGATCTGCATTATTCTGTTCTCTGTACTATTATATCTGTCCAGATAGAAAAATAAAAACAATTTAGAGATGAAAACTTAAACTATGTAACAAGTGAGTTTAGAAAACAGTATTTCTGTCTAATAGGAAATAAAATGTTCTATGTTCAGGATACTTGAGTTTCTGATCTCTGCTCTGCCATTACTAATTCTATGCAACCTAAAGCAAATAAATTATTTTACCTCTCCTGGCCCATTTTATCATTTTGTTTTTGTTTTGTTTTGTTTTGTTTTGATTGCTTGTTTTTCCCCATTTAAGATAGTAGTCTTATATGTAGCCCAGGCTAGTTGTTAACCTACAGTTCTCCTACCTAGTCACCAGCCTGTCAAGTGCTGGGGTTATAGGTGTATGGCACCATTCTTAGCTTCCTTGTTTGAGTAGAGAAATTAAGAGTGTATAATTTCCCAATTTTAAAACAAATTTTTCACAATTTCTTGTCTCTGATGAGACGGTAGGTCATAATCAGTGGTATTGTAGGCAAGCATTCTATAGCTGAGCCTTAGGCTGCAGTGTAGATTTGATGAAGCTTGGTATAAATTTACCTCTCTCTTTGTATACAGGTCTCCAAAAGCAGAAATAGTATAGATTTTATACAAAATTTTATACCAAACAATAAACAGTATCTGTAAGTATCTGCCAGACTCATAATCTACTGTAACATTCACAGTACTTCCGGTGTTGGTGTTTCCAGCTCCCAGTAATGAGGAAACCCTTAACTTGAAAAAGGTCAATTTGAGTAGTAGAGCCACCATGCGTCTTCCACATTATGCTAAAGTACAGTCTCCTTAAACCGTTCTGGATTATCTTACTTTTTCATGTGATATTCTTTTGGAGTCTTATTTTCAGACCATCCAAAACAATTCACCACTGGTTAAACATCTTCCAATTCCCTCTGGCCTAAATAATATTTAGATTTTTTTATTGTTTCCTGATCCAGTGATTGGAGTAAGCAGACTGAAATTCAGAAAGAAAAACTGCATCCATCTTTTTCTTGTCAATAATTCGAAACAATACTGTTTAACAGTACGGCGGCATTTATGCTGGGTTTTCTAAGAATTATGCCATTTATACAAGGAACCTTAAGCATCTTTCTATTTACCATGATAGGCAGACTAATCCCTCAGGGATACCAAGGAAAACTTAAGGGTTTTTTTTTTTTTCCATCTTTTTCATATAACTAGAAATAACTTCTAAAAGTTGAGTATTCATTGCTAAGAAATAATTGCACTTTATTTTAAATATATAATAAAATTAATTGAAATTTAAATTCTCATTTGATTGTTCATTTAGTGGATATGATTTAATAAATTAGGACTTAACAAATTTTCCGTTTGTTCTCCAATGCAGCCTTGGCTTGATAATAAGCACACCGTGTTTGGTCGAGTGACCAAAGGAATGGAGGTTGTACAGAGGATTTCCAATGTTAAAGTCAATCCCAAGACAGATAAGCCTTATGAGGACGTCAGCATCATAAATATCACCGTCAAGTAAACCGTTTTGTTACATTCACAAGTAAAGGGGACTTAGAATACAAGACTGTTTCACATTTGGAAGTTTAATACTTGCTGAACATGCAAATCATGTTTTAAAAGATACAAAACTGTATTTTTGTATTTTTAGTTAAAGGCCATTTTTTAAAACTGCCTTGATTTTTTTTTTTTTTTTTTAATATTTCTGATCCTGAGGGATGACAAATTGAAATGCACTAAATTAAGGCAAATAGCATTCCTTATAGGTAAGTTCTCTTATTATGACTCAAATTCAGTATTTATATAATGGGTTGGTACATATTCTCTCTTTTTTAAAAACATGCCTTGAAGGTTTAGGGATTCTTAAAAAAAGAAAAGTCAAATTCCTTAGTATTACAAAATACCCTTTCAAATGAAAGTATCACATGACTACTTGAATACTTTTTAATGAAGTTTCTCTATTTTCATTTGTTTTTCCTAATGTAACCAAGTAATCTTTCTTCTACCAAGTTCTATCTCAATTCAGTCTTAAGTATGCCATCAAGAATAAGCTTAGTACCTACCAGTAGATATTAATAAAGTGGAGCAGTAAACTGGGTGAAGTGGCATGTGCCTGTAATCCCAGCGCATGAGAGGTAGAGGCAGGATAATAAATTCAAGGCCAGCCTAAACTACATAATGCCCAAAAACAAACAAATTTTAACAGTAAAATGAGTTTAAAGTCTTTATTGATATTATTCTTCACCTCCCTTTCCCATAACTGACTGCTAACAACAACCAGTTCTGGCTTCCAAACATCCTCCTTCAGAGACTTAGAGGGGGATATCTCAGCAGAGCTGCTTTAGGAGCATCATTTCATTTTGTATGGAAATGAAACCTAGAACACTGAAAAGTATGTCCAATTGTGCCTTGCAAGTGAAATGTACTTTCCTTTAAAAAGAATTTGAGCTTCCTCCATTAAGGACTTTGTTACATTTACCTTATTTCTTAACTCAGGGGTTAAAATTATCTAACCTTTTTCTAAAGGCTTCTAAAGCCTTAATGTAAATTTTTGGTAATACTGCCATTAAGTGGTAATAATGCCTCACTCCTCAACATTCAAGTATTTCACTTTAAGTGAAGAATCACATGCAACTAATCAATTTTGTTTTTATATTGTTTTGTTTGAAATAGGAACTTATGTGTCCTAGGCTAGCCTCTGTGTAGCTGATGATCTCGAGTCCTAGGATCACAGGTACATACCATGATGCCCAGCTTATGCAGTTCTCTTAAAGCTTGAACTCAGAGCCTTGTGCGTATGCAGGTACTCTACCACCTGACTTACATCCCAGCCCTTAAATTACTGATACGTGATCAGTTATTGTTTTCTCCTGTATTCTTTTTTGGAGGCATACAGATGTGCATCAGTCTTCCCAGTTATCATTTTGTAAAATGAGAACTTTTCTAATGTTATTAAATGTTATTAAAAAATAAATAACATTTAATAAATGTTATTAAAAAATAAATATTTTTTAATATTGAGACAAGTTTTTCAAGCCCACCCCAACTCCCTTTCCTCGTGGTGATGGCGATAGAATGTAGGGAGGGGCTTGTTAAGCAAGTTCTCTACCAATGAGCCACATCTCCAGCCCATCAAACCACTGTAATTATAATGACAGTAATGGACCATGTAAGTGATCATTTTAAATGTTCTTTATTCTCCTGTGAAGCAAGCTTAAATTTAAATCAACCTTTGAAAATCTCAAAATTTTTCACTTTTGTTTATTGCTACAATTTAGATCTTTCAGTATCTCCTACCTTTTGTTTAAATGTGATTTATATAGAGAATAGCCTATTTCTAAACCTCTGCAATATCAAATAAACTCTATCTGAAATGTGATAGGCAAGTCATTCTCCACTCTTTCAGTTTCTTTTAAAAATAGCACAAATAATGAAGTTTTTCTTTCTTTCTTTTTTTTTTTTCCCTGTGCTAGGGATCAAACCGAGGTCTTCAAACATGCTAGACAGTAGAAACAGTGTTTCTACTGTTGAGCTGTGTTGAGTTCTAATAATGACTTAAGTTATTAACTAGCCTAATGCTAGGTACACAATTTATTAAGCAGCTTTTAAACTAACAGAATTCCTTTTAACTTAAACATTTTATTGTTTCCTATACTGATCATATATGTAAGGGCAAATAATGGCTTCTGGTCACTATAAACCATTTCTGAATTACAGACCAGGGCCATACACTTGACATATCTGCTTTATATAATTCACACAGTTATGTAGAAATTCAGAGATATAAGGCAAATCCTAATATATTGTACTTAAAACATCTGTTGATTCTCAATCCTTGACATTTCCCAGAAGAAACTAATACAGTCTTAACAAATGACTAATCAAAGGATGTAAGTATGCACTTTAATAAAAGCCCACCCAAGGAAAAGAATCACACATAAATACCACATTATATCTGTATTACAGTCAGATTTATGCACAACTTTAAAATTGTTTAGTTATATTTTAAGAATATAAATTACAAAGTTTAACAAAATTAGTGAAATAATAAACTTCATAATTTACAAGAAAAGCAAGTTCACATCTTAGTGTCAACATTTTCAGTTACCTACTACAGAAAACAGTTCAAGGTCTCACAAGCAAATGCAACATCTTATTTTTCACAGTTACTGAAATCAGTCAAATATTAAATAATTTAACTATAAAGTATTACATATGCACACAAACTACTTGTAACAGCATGACCAGTGGCTTTCTTGAAAAACAAAGGACAAAATATTATATTTTTATTTACATATTGCCCATAACACTTGATGGGCTTTTTCTAATGCTGTTTTCTAAAAGTTAAAAAAGAAAAAGCACAGTTGCAAAAACTGAACCAGTACAGTGCCACCTAAAAATCACATCCTATTGCCAGATATCACTGTCCTTGTAACAATGCACTAAGTTATAACTCGACTTCATCCTAAAGTAAAAAGAGCATTAATAACAAGAAATCTAGCTACTTAAATATAAGAAATCATGCTTCCATAATAAGAGTGTCTTTTACAAATAAGAAACTAAAAAACTTTATTCACAACACTGCCATAATAACTGTAAACTTTTTAAAGTTTCTTTTCCTTTAGACATGTTCTCTTTAAGGGAGACCTTGTCCTGAAGAGCCTTGATCCTTTTTATTGTCAAGTAAACGCACTTCACTTGGGAACCATGTTAAAGAAATTAGCATTCCCTACTGCTTGAATAACCTGAATAACCTTTCAAGCATAGGTAGTTTTCTATTTAGGTCTCTTTGTTTATGTTTAAATGACTTGTTCTTCATGTAACTTACGACACTTTACCAACAAAGGATGCAATATTACTTAGCCAAAGTAAATGTGCTAAACAACTAAAGGACCAATTTAGGGATCTGACCTAGGAAATAAATTAGGCCCAGTTCTAGAAATGGTTCTTGTGAGTGGAGATCAAACAACTTTCACAGTTCTTATTGTTCTTAGTTTAGTACCAGTTTACTGACAAGGTCCACTTAGATACTATTTCATTCTTTCTGTGCATTATGCAGAATGCGTTAGAAAAGTTATACAAGACTATAGAAAAATCTTATTTTCTATACTTTAGTCCCCAGCACTAACGATAATGTTATGCTGAATGTGAAAGTAAAGCAATCCTATTACCCCAATACAACTTCATTCAGTTCTAGAACACAACTGCCATGTCTACTGCTCAGCACTGCCAAAACTGAATAAAAGGTGGGGTAAAGACACCATACTTGCTAGGTTCTGTTAGGCACTCCACTGGCCGTTTTTGTTTTTTTGTGTGTGTTTTTTGGTTTTTGTTTTTTTTTTTTTTTAATTGAAATAAAGAACCTTCTCTTACTTATTTTCTGTAACCACTTCTCTTCCAATATACAGGTCATATATAAACTGAAAATTTCCAATACCTTCTTAAAGTGTTTATCCACATCTCTATTTAACCAATGTAACATGGTCATTTAAATTTCTCACAGAATAATTTTTTAAAGCAATAGTATACTTCTCAGTCCAGGAGTCCTATATATACATTCTAAATTATCATATTTGAGATGTAGAATTCTTAGAATGCATCACATGCAAAGTAACTTTTAACCATAAGCCTGAAACAACTGCTGCAGTAGAATCAAGCAACATCCAACACCCCAGCAGCCACAAGTTGCCGGGACAGCCAGTCCAGCCCTTCGTAGAGCCCCATACCACTTCGTGCATCACAGCCCTGAATATACCAGCTCCTACCACAGCATAATTTATGGAGACTGAGAAGTTCAGTGATTTCTTCTACTGACAGTGCTCCAGCAACATCCTAAAAGACACAAAGTGTAATTTTTATCAGTCCTTCCAAGGGGTCATTACCCTCTATTATACTATTTATACAGAAAACTACTGATAACATTCTAACTGAATCCTAAAAACCTGTATTCATTTTCAGTAATTATTCTAAGATTAACTGAAAGAACAAAGAATTTTGGTTAGGGTATGAATGTGTATATACATACATACATACATATGTAAATAATGAAATCAATAACAGCTATGCCTTCTGTCTGAAAGATACTACCTAGATCACTGTAAGAAATCATCAACCCTTCCTCACCAAAAAAAAAAAAAAAAAAAAAATAGTGCATATATAGCATAAAATCTATTTATGTAGAAATTATATAATGAAGGTTGTATTATTTCTCACCTTTGATCCTTCCCAGGAACAAACAGTAGTAATTTCTTATATATTTTTCCAGAAATTTTCCAACTACAATCCAAGTACATACTCTATGTCTTGATGGTTTAAGTTTTTACTTAACAGTAAGATATTTTTTCAATTTAACACATGTTGATTATCTTAAAATTAAAACTGCATTTTTTTGCATGAATGCAATGCAGTGTAACAAGTCCTGCCATTACTGAATTCATGTGTTCATATGCTATTATGAATTATGAATTATGCTAGCCCTTTTCATCCATGGAGTCAACTAACCGGCTTAAAATTTTTCACATTTTATTATATATGCCTACTTTGAACACTTCATGCTCCTACTTTTCAGAAGCCAACAACCAGTAAAAACCCCTTGTAGAACATACACAGACTTTGGTCATTGTTCTCTAAACAATAAAGGCTAACAACAATTAACATACTACTTCCATTCCAATGTCTTACAAGTAATCTGCAGATGATTTCAAGGATACAGAGGAAAAATGCATAAGTTATGTTCAAATACTAAATATCTTTAAAAAAAAAAAAAAAAAAGAAGAAGAAGAAGAAAAGAACTTGGGTTTGATCTCTTTAAGGGTGCCCAGACCCAATCCTCCATGAATCATGAGGGAAAACTATACTCACACATATATACACATAGGTTAAGTTTATCTACATTTACAACATTATCTTACAGTAACATGTAATAGACCCTTAGAGTACATACATCTAAAACTTGCACAAATGTTGCCACTGTCTTGTAGTAAATTATGTTTAGTACTATATCACAGGTATCTATGTTATTTGCATGTTTACTGGTACAAGAAAAGATGTTGCATTTCTTGCTAGGTTGCCTGTTGTTAATTTTTAGTGAGGTGAAAATTCTTTATTCTTCATTTTACTTTCGCTTCTTGTATTCAGCTTTACTTCAGAGAAATAGAGATGTCTCCGTGGTTAAAAGCATAAAAACCCAGGTTTTATTCCCAGCACTCAACTGTTCTCATAATAATGAGGCTTGTGGCTTACAATGGTTTATGGTCTCCAATTTCAAGGGATCTCACACCCTCTTCTGACCTCTGGGTACAAGAGATACACATGCACAGACATGCATGCAGAGAAAACACCCATACACATAAAATTTAAACTTAAAAGAAAACACCGGTCCTCCTAAAAGCATTCTCTAGCCTTTACCACTCAATCCTTGTTGCATCAGTTACTTGATTTGTGTATGTGTATTTATACTCTAGTATATCCAAGGTAACATTTTCCACAGCAGAAATGTTATAAATATCTACTCTTTGAAATCTTCTCAACTGACTTATAACAAAATATAACAAGGCTACTAAAATAATAAGTGTTTTGATATAAAAATCCATTACCTGTTTGTTAGCAAATATCAGGAGCAAGGCATCTCGGAGTTCTTTTTCTGTTAACAGCTTTGCAAGTTCACTGTGTGCTTCACTAATTCTGTCTCTATGACTGCTATCAACAACAAATACAACAGCTACCAAAGTACACAAAAAACAGTCGTTATTTGTTGTATTAGTTTGATGCTCTTACTCATTCTATTTCTCTTCCTGTTAATATTTCCTTCACATATAGACCCAAAGACAGCTATAAGTTGAAACCTACCACAATTTTAACTCCAATCATATAACCTAATCCCCCCACCCCACCATATTCATGTGAAGGCTCAAAACCATCGCCATTCATATATAACATGGGAACACTACCCCTGAGCTACATTTTTGTGAGATAAGTCTTGCTACATAGCTCATGCTACCTTTGAGATTGACATATATATGCCAGGCCAGCCTAACCTCTTGATCCTGATCTACCTCCCTAAATCCACTTTTACATCCTTTATGATACAACCTAGTTTAGAATAGCTCTGTCTCCGTATTTCCCATTGCTTTCTGTTAAGATTGTTGGAAGCTACTTCCCAGTTTACCTATAATAGAATATAATGTGTTTACATACACACAAAATTATACTTCTTTCTGTTAATTATGGCTCATACTAACTATAATATCAAAATTTCCAAGGTAGAAATTAGTCTCCGATTTAAATGGGAGTAGGATGACATTCAAAGCTCATATTCTGTACGTTTCATGGGAGGGAGTACAAAGTGTAGAATGGAGCCAGGTGTGAAGAAAGGTTAGACAGAATGGTGGGATATATACATTTGGTACATATCCAGATAGGTTCCTCTGGGATCACACAGATCATAAAACAGGGAGTAGTGCTGTTGAGCAGTTATACTAGGCTAAATGTTAACCTCAGAGTACACGTTTACGGCACAAGTTCAACTCATGTTACTTTACTGTCAGCAATCGTACCCATGGGACTACCAATAATAGTTTTCAACTTTAATAACAGCCAGGAGGAGATTTTTTATTCTATAATAATGGCCTATGATGAATAAAAATGCGTTCCCTAGTTTTACCATTATTTTTAAATTTAAATAACATACATTAACACCATAGCATCCAATATCATCCTCCCTCTCAAATTCCATCATTCTTTTGACAATTTTGCTAATTAAATCAGAGTACTATATAAACTCATTTAAAAAAAAATTTTTTTTTTAGTTAAAAAACATGTCATTCTTGACTCTTACCTTGTGTGTTGAGATAATAATGTTTCCACAACGGTCTTAATTTGTGTTTTCCACCCACATCCCAAATGGTGAATTTTAGATTTTTGTATTCCACGGTTTCCACATTAAAACCTGTTGTTTTGTCAAAACATTATTTTATACTGTATTTATGTTAAACAATGAATGACACACCAGTCACAAACAAGCCCATTTGTAATTTTGAGTTAGCAATTGTCTGCTTGTAGCAGTAGCTACTGAAGCCAAACAAACTCTACTTCTAGTCCTTTGGGGATGTCTGCCTTTCAGAGCAAAGCCCTCTACTCTTACCAGTGTCCTCAGGACCTGGACATCCATACACCTGCCAGCTCTGTACTACTGCCGCCTCCTCATTCCTAACACTCAGTCAGATTCTGTAAAGCTTCTATTCCTTCTCACTTCACTATCAACATTCAGTCCTTTTTGCCATGTCACCATGTACATTTCAGCCCCACAACCATAATCTTGTTTTTCTCTGAAAGATGTCTTAGAGCCAGAAAAGAGCCAAGCCACATACATAGCAGTATCAATGCTCAGAGAACTCAGATAGCTATAAGCCAGGTGCCTATCAATATTCAAACTTACCAATTGTTGGAATAGGCTGCATGAACTCATCTTGTTTTAACTTGAATAAAATAGTAGTTTTTCCAGCACCATCTAATCCTAATGTAACTACTCGGATTTCCATTTTGGGTCCAATATGGACTCTGTTGTCCTGTGGTAATGAAAAAAATTGAAGTGAGAATATAACATTTTTATGCTGTACTAAAAAACAAAATGGGTTACGCAGTTGATAAGGGAGATTGTTTAGTCAATGCTGCTGTGTAAGCATGAAAACCTGAGTTCAGATCCCCAGCATCTGCAAAATTTGTGTGTGGTAGTACATGTTTGTAAGCCCTGTGCTGAGGGGAATCAGGAAACCAAGACAAGTGGATCCCTAGACATCCATGTTGAGTGACAGGCTACTTAAGCTCTACTGCTCCATAAGTATCAACTATATCTATATATAAGCTCCCAAATGTAGTCTAATACTACATCTCAGAAACAAAATAATATTAAGGACAAAAATCTAATCATGAGAAGAACCCCAGATACAAGCTGAGAAGCCACAGCATTTAGGTTAGTACAAAACTAAGGAGAGAGCTAGGGCTGGAACTAGTAGAAGAGGTTTCTTATCACAAAGACAAGCCTGATCCCTAGTACTGCTAATAAACAGAGAAATAAGGTGAGGCAACATTGTTCTTGTCCTTACCAAATGTACAAGATATAAACTAGAAAATAAAATATTAATAAACTGAATTTAACAACCAATTAAAATGATTGTATACCATGACCAATGGGGTTTATGCCTGGAAGACAGATTTCAACATCAACAAATGAAATACATAATGATAACTGACAAAACATTTGAGAAAATCCATTACAATTTTTACAAAAAAAAAAAAAAATTAACAAAAGAGGAATAGAAAACATACACATGAAAATCCCATAGCTAACATCTCTTAAGATAGGAAAAAAGACAAAGCTCCCTTCTAGCCATTTCTATTTAATATGGTATTAACAGGAATATCCAACACACTGATTTAGAAGTTTTTTTTTAAATATATTTGTTTTATGTATATAGGTACTTTGCATATACATCTACACAGTGGAAAACAGCATCAGACAGTTGTGAGCTGTCATATGTGTTCTGGGAACTGAATTCAGTACCTTCAGAAGCAGTGAGCGCTCTTAACTCCTAAGCCATCATCTCTCTACACACCTTCTTCCCCCTCCCCCGAATTAGAAGTCTTAACTATAACAATTAAGAAATAAAAGACAAAATTATCCAAACCAAAAATAACCATGTGAAATTCTCTTTATAAATGGCCTGATCTTTATGTAGAAAGCCATGAAGAAACTCCCCATCAAAAACTGTTAGAATAAATGAATTTAGAAAAGTTGTAAGACACAATACCAACAGGAAAATAATTTCATTTTTATACATCAAACAATTCAAAATGGAATCTAAGAAAGCAATCCCATTTACAATAGTATCAAAAGCAATAGCTTAATTAATAATAAGCCTAGCTAGAGACTTGAAAGACCTGTATGCCAAAAACTACAAAACCTAAAAATAAAACTTTTAAAAAAAATAGGAGAGGGGGTTAGCATGGCTCAGTGGCTCATCTGTTGCAGAGCACCAAGGCTCAGTTTCCAGCATCCACATGGAGGCTCACAACAGTCTGTAACTCCAGTTCCAGGGAATATGACATCTTCATCTGGCTTCAGTGGGCACTAGGCACACCTGTGATGCACACACATCATACATGGAGACAAAATGTTTGGAAAGCATTGCTAAAAGAAATTAACAAAGACATATTTGGTATTCCATGTTCCCAGATGTAAAAATTAATATTGTTCAGGTGTCACTGTAACTTCCACACCACTTTGGAGTGGTGTGTGGTGGTACACATCTCTAATCCCAGCACTAAGAAGGAAGAGGCAGGCCGATCTCTGTGAGTTTGAGGCCACAGATCAAGTTCCAAGATAGCCACAGCTACACAGACAAATCCTGGCGGGGTGGAGGGTGACGGGGTAGGAGGGGAAGAGTTTGACTGGAAGCCACGCATGGGGTGCACACACAGAACACCAACAACTGGAAGTTAGATAAAGGAGGTTCAGGCCAACCTCAGCTACTCAGAAAATTCAAGATACTGTCTCAAAAAAATTGTGTTTATTTAAAAAAAAAATCTAAGAAATTTGAATATTAGCCGAATACCTGATAATAGTAATAAAGTATTAGAAATGTAAATTTGTTTTGGGTACAATTCCAATTAAATTGGGAAATGAGAACCAAGAGACTTAAATTTCATTTCTTTCTCTTTCCCATTGATTAAAGTTTTTCTTGAAATTGTACAACTCGGGAATTTCCTAGTGTTCTCTTTAAGTTGGTTTCCATTCCAGGCTACTCACAATCTGCAAAAACAACAGGTAAAAACACAGGACAGTACATCACCTTTGTAAAAGTGACTGGGATACTGGCATCCAACTGAATATGATCTGCAACTTCTGTAAACTGCTGCTGCTGTTTCTGCAGTGTTTCTAATAGTCTTGTGATTTCTTGTTTTGCCAATACAACTCTGCAGTCATCCTAGAAAACAAGACGGTATTTCCCATGAAGTCTTTCTTTAAAAAAAATGGATACTCCATCAGCTGTCAATAAAAGACCACTTAACACTACAGTAGTAAAAGTAAATTTTAGGAGCTCAGCAGTCATTGTTCAGTTGGTAAACGGCTTTCCTCACAAGCATAAGAACTCAATTCAATCCCCAGAACCTATGTAAAAAGCCAGGTACTGTGGTACTTGCTTGCAGTGCTGGGAAGGTGTAAAGTACATTATGCTGGTAAACTGTCATGTGTTGTTTGAGCCCATTGAGATGCTGGCTCAGGAACTGGGGTCGCTTCCCCACCACTTCAAAGCTTGTTTATGTTCAATGTTTTCCAAGACCCCTTGTCTGGAAATAGGATAGCACCTTAACTCTTGTGACAAGTTAGAAAGGGAACAGCAAGCGATTAAGAGAAAAAAAAGCATGTCTTAGTTAGGTTCTTACTACTGTGATAAAACACCATGATCAAAGTCAACTTTAGAAGAAAAGGGTTTATTTCAGCTTACAGTTTCACATCACCGTCTACCACTAAGAGAAGTCAGGGCAGAAACTCAACACGGCAGGAACCTGGAAGCAAGAACTGAAGCAGGAAGCCACAGAGGCGTGCTGCTTACTGACTTGCTGACCATGTATTGTTCAGTCTATTTTCTTACAGCACTCAGGGTTAGGATGATGATATCCACCAGCCCAGGGATGGTGCTACCTACAGTGAGCAGGGCACAGCCACATTAACCATCAAGCAAAAAAATGTACCACGGGGTTGCCCAGAGACCCCAGTGAGGGCATTTCCTCAATTGTGATACCCTCCTCCAAAATCACTCTCCCCTGCATTGTTGACCTAAAACTAGCCAGCACACATCATGTTCTTAGAAACATCTAGATAACAAATTCCAAACATGTTAAACAAAACTATTGTTTGTTCACTCCATGATATAAAAGTGCTTAAGAGGAGAGAGAGAGAAGTATGACATTCATCCACAGGAAGCTCATCCATGGAGAGAAAGCTCAATGGGGAACTCTAGCAGGAAGCCAAAACTGCTCCAGTTGGTTTCTGCTGGATACTGTGAACACCTAATTTGTTAATGTCATCTCTACCTCCTAATCTGCTTTTACTTGAAAAGCCTCACCCAAAGAGATACCCCTGGTCTGTCTGGGATTCCATTAGTCAAGAACTCCAGCTGGCTGCTAAATGGGGCTTCCCAAGTCTGTTTCTGTGGTTCTCATTCAAAACTGAAGGTATGGCTGTTGTAAATAATTCTCAATACTACACACAAGAGTGAGAGATAAGAGGAGCCCTAATGCTCAGGAAGAACATATGTAAAAAGGGATACACAGTACTCCTTAGGATGACACCTGAGGTTGTGCTATGGCCTTCATATATATGTACATCTGGACATATACAGTTTCATAATGCAAGTGTATATGCATACATTCATACATACATAAACTTTTATTCTTATTTGGGGACAGGGTCTCACTGTATAGCCCTGGCTGATCTGGAATTCACTTTGTAGACCAGGCCGGCCTTGAACTCACAGAGATCAGCCTAACTCTCCCTCCCTAGTGCTAGGAAAAAGATGTGTACGACTACACCAAGCTACATAAAATTCTTTTTGAATTTTCAAATATTTATTTGTATATATGTATTAATATTTTGCATCAACATGACCAAAAATTACATGACAAATAAATGAAGTAGGAGAAACAGAAAAAAGGTTGTTTTTATGTATATGAGTATTTGCATATTTATTTGTCTGTGCATCACAAGTGTATAGTGCCCATGGTAATGTAATTAACCTGCAAGGACCCCATGAAGCCAGAACTAAGCTCTCTAAAAACATGGTATCCTCATATGTGAACTTATATTCAGAGACACTCCAAGTCAAAAGTGACCCACAGTAAGTTAATGCCTTTCAGCTTCCCTGTCTTGTTCAAGATGAATTTAGAGGACAAAACAGCTACTTGCACAGATGTAGCCCCCGTATCTAAACGAAGAGCAAGACTACGTTGAAAGGCACCATAATAAATGGTATAATAGATACTGTGATAGAAATCTTGGTCATGAACTTGACACACATAGGAAAAGAGAATCTCATTTGAAGAATTGCTTCCACTGTCTTCGCCTGTGGGGATGTCTGTGGAGCACTCTGATTGCTAACTGATGTTGGAGGACCCAGACCAAGATGGGTGGTGTCAACCCTGGGAGGTGGGTCTGAACTATGTAAGAAAGGGAGCTACACAAGCCAAGGGACACAAGCCATTACGTAGATTCCACTACACTATCTGCTTCAATTCTTATCTCCACATTACTTCCGTGGCTTCCCTCAGTGATAGACTGTTACCTGTAAGGAAAAAATACACCCCTTACTGCACCAAGATAGTTTCTGTCAGTGTTCTTTCATAGTGACAGAGAACAAGCTGGAAGACCCATCAACTTTTACAAGTCAATACGTCAACAATAAACAAGACTAATAGTGAGATTGTAGGCTAGCCAAATTCTAATGAGACATGTAGGAAAAATACTGACATTGGTAGAAGTTTTAAACTATAATTTCAAATCAGCATAATTATTAACAGCACATCAGTGAAGATAAGATAGACTGCAGTTTTGCAAGAATTCCTAAGGCAATAATTATCCCTAAATCTCCCACTTGTGACATTTTTTTAGATCAGCCTTGAATCTCACTTTTTAAAATAAGGAAATCATCTGCAAGCTGAGTAATGAATTAAAGCTTCCAAGAGTAAACATTTGAGTTAGACCATGAAGGAGGAAGACTTCCACTGAAAGAAAATACACACTACATCTAAAGATAGGACATGTGCAAATGGACATTGCATGATTGAAGAATGATGTTACAGGGATCCTAGAATAGCTTTATGACAGGAAAAGCAGCAGGAGGACAACACATATAGTTGGTGGAACAATCTGAAATTACAGAACATGTATGATGACCAATGTTAACACATGCAATAGAACCCAGTCACTACATTAATGAAAGAGAGGAGTATATCTCTGATAATTGTGCACATAATATTAAGTGTAGCCTAACAACCTCTCAATTACCTACCTGCTGCAAAGTCTTTTCACAATGGAGGCAGGCTGTTGAAACCTGGGACAAGAGAATAGTCATATCCTCTTGTTGCTGCCTGAGCCAAATCAGTTTTTCTCGAACATGGGCATCAACAACACTTAGAGCCATTTCTTCTTGACGACAAAGAGTTTCATGTAAATCAGAAAAATAAGCTCTGACACACGATCGAGCATTCTCTGCAGTACCTGGGACCTATGAAGACATGAGTACATTTTAAACAATTAAAGCCTCAAATACTTCATATGTAGTTTATCAAAATTTAAATACCATCTGCACTCTTACAGACTTTAATCTCTCCATTAGACCTTTCCTTTTAAATATGAACTTTGAATGTTTAACTGTTTATAAATTATATCTGAAGCAAAATGGAATCTTATCTCGAGCTTTCCCCATCTCCAAACCTAATTACCTCTATCTCAGTAAATGGTAACTTCATCAAGTTATTAAAGTGGAATGAAGGAAGGAAGGAAGGAGGGAGGGAGGGAGGGAAGGAGGAAGTAAAGAAAGGAATGAAGCAAAGGAAGGAAGGAATGACCAAAGAAAGAAAAATAAATAAAAAACACAATTCATCCTTAATATTTTTCATATTCTATCATGTCTTAGCAAATTCTGCTGGACTTCAAAATATTTCCAGAACCTAGCCATGCCTTACTGCCTCACCTCCAGCAAACTGCTATGCAAAATATAATTTCTCATCTGATTATGATAAACAGCCTTCTAACTTCTCGTAATTTCCTGACCAAACTACCCACCAATCAATACTGACAACTACTTGCCAAGACTTACTATTCTTTAAAATCTCAAATTCATATTTTTTACTGCTTCTCCAATACTACAGGACACAAACATCTCTGAACTAGATGATTTCAATGATGTCTTAATACATCTTTCTGCTTCTACTGCTACTTTCTTCCAATTCACTTTCTATACTTTTAATGGTTAAAAATAAGTTTTTAATGGAAATGTCAATAGTTTAATGGCTCACAATTACTCTTAAGCTTAAGTGTTAAAGTCTCCAACATGACTAATAGTTCTGGTGTGACTTGGTCTTCAAGTCTTCCATTTTTTTTTTCTTCTTGACAGACACAATTCAGAGTTCCAAACACACTGAACATTAAGAACCTACAATCCATCCAGCCCTTACTTCCAATCACTTATATACATTCTTCCCACCTGGGACAACTGACTCCCAACCCTTTCCTCTGACTGAATTCCATCAAATCTCAGTTTAAACATCACTTCTAAGAAGCCTTCCATGAACTACACGATAGGTTATACCTCTTATATACTATCAAGTTTAATGTACTTCCCTACCCACAACAGAAAATAATATCAAACTTGAAACTCTTTTGTGATAGATTATAGACACCATTTTATATATATATATATAATCTAGATAGATAGATAGATAGATAGATAGATAGATAGATAGATAGATCACATATATTAACAAAAACTCATGTTTGGTGTCCAGTATAGTACTAGCACATTGTATCTGTGCAATACTTACTATAAGATGCAAAGATGCAAATGAAAAAGATTAAGAAAATAAACAGGGAAGAAAAGAATCCATACATGTTCTGTGTGAGCCATTCCAATTCCATCTTCCACTATTTGTTCTCCTCCTTCAATGTGCTGAACAATTCCAATTAATTTTCTGGAATAATCTGATATTTCCTCAGTGAAGGTCCGTATGCAATGAGCCATGTCTAAAATTGATGCTCGGATCTGGTTAGCTTCTGGTTCCAGTACTGAATGCTATAAATCCAACACAATTATAGGAAAGATTCATAGTGGTATCTACTGACTTACAAAAACTACTTAAAAAATTTTAATATAAAGAAATATCAACTTTAAGTGGCTTTTGTAACACATTTCAAACAAGTACAAAATAAGAAAACAAAATATACTAATTTATTTTCACTCCTTTTTAAGAGAGTTGTACTACAAAGAAATAAGTCAGAAGTTGGAATTCCATGTATTGCTATTCAAGAAACCAAGAGATTGTTCAAAATTATATCATAAGAGTTATCAATAGACAAATATTATCAAAGCCGTACAGCATATTATAAAATCATGCACATAAAGATAAGACTTTTTAGTATCCTGCTGGAAGTTATCATGAAGCCTCTCTGAAATTATACCATTCAGAAATTAAAATCTTCAATTTTTTCCATGCACCTGAGACCAACTCATTAATCACTTAACTTTCTTCAAAAGCTAAAGTTTATGTCTTCACATAAATAAACAGATCAACAAAAACAAATGGAAGGCTGGTAAAATACCTAATTATCCAACTAAATTAAGTTCATACCTTGTGACCTTGGTGTTTTCCATATTCTTTGCAGACACAGCACATGAGTGGGCTACTTTGACAACCTTCTTCCAAGCAAACAAACTCAATGGCATGCACCTGGTGCTGACAGCACATTGTTTTCTCATGAGGTTTATCAGCTAGAGGCACTCGCCTGTGCTTCGCTAATGTCTTTGTAGAATGAGTAACTTGAGAACACTCTGAGCACAAGTGAGTCGCACACACAGTGCAATATACAGATGCAACATGAGCTTCATCTTCATCACAGCGAATGATGCTCTAAGAAATAAAAAAATAAAAAATAAATGCCTTAAAATTGAGCTCATTAACACACTGCAAACTTTAAACTACAAGACTCCACAACCTTTTCTATTTAACATACCAGGCTCATACATGGTATTTAAAAAAGAAATTGGTTATGTCAATCTTTCCAAATAAAAACAAAGAACTAAGAAATTGAACAAAGAAAACCAAATTAGTAAACTAAGTTAACTGGTCCTCAAAAATAAGTGGCTTCTAGAACAAGAAGGGGTTCTGGAAACTTTAATAATCTATGATGTAACAACACATCACAGAAGGAAGGCACAGAAAATAACCAGCTACAGCTTAATGAACTCATCAGCTGGATACAGCTTAGCTAGTTGTTCACAGGATTCCCTTAACCAAAGTTCAGCTTCTTCTATTAACTAAACTATGCTTAAACTCTTTATTGGTTTGGTCTATTGGATGTAGTACATGCATCCAGTATACATCTATGATCTCCCACAAACTTTATTTAATAATGAAAATATACTGGTAAGTATAAAGGCTAGGTGCTATCTATCCATTGAAAAACTATTTTTCAGGAAAGCAAGAAGCTATCTGTATGACATATTATCAACACAGGCTATGATTTGGGGGCAAAAATAAATTCATTCTCATGAATAGTCTTTTTTTTTCTCCCAGTGCTGAAAATTGAACCAGAACCTTATAAACGCCAGGCAAATGGTCTACCATTGAACTACATACAAAACATTGTATAGATTTACAGTTTGTGCAAAGATCTCTTCCATCAAATTTTTGAAAGAAGCATAACTACAAAAACACTATTTAAAAAAAAAAAAGAAGACCTAAATTCTGGTTGCTTTAGTTATGTGTATGAGTATGTGTAAGAAAAAAAAAAAAAAAAAAAAGCACTATGCTGTGTAAATAACCTAATATAGTTTTGAATTAGCTATGAAAAGTTTGAAAACACCAGACACCCTGATGTAAAATGGGAAGTTCTGATCTCAATAGATTCTGAGACCTGAAATAGATAGATAGATAGATAGATAGATAGATAGATAGATAGATAGATAAAAT